AACATCCTAAACATAAACAACTCTTAAGTAACCATGTGTTACACATATCTGTGGACATCTGAAATGCTTTAATATTTATTCTTTGATAAAAGTTTATATGTCCAGTTTCTACTTGAAAAAAGTCCTTTAGCATAGACTACTAATTCTTTTAATAAGCCAAATAAATACTTACTGATGCCATTTTAAAAATACAAAGCCCTTCATCCTTCTCTGCTGTAAAAACTAAGCTTTAGGTTCACAAGGTGGTACTCTGGAACATGGAAAAGTAACACTATATTTTGTTCCTTCTTTTCCCATCATTTCAATTTCTAATTAAATGATTCTTCCTCGTGTGTGTGTGTGTGTGTGTGTGTGTGTGTGTGTGTGTGAAATCACATAGAACTGTGAACAGAGAAGGTGAACAGCAAGACAAGGCAGATTAGCCTCCCTACTATGTCTCACAGGTAACTTTGACAAAAGCACTACTTTTGGAGGCTGACCCTGAGTATTGCTTCATCTAGAGAGGTGACTGGATGCTAGAAGGCTGTGTCGCTCTAACAAGCCTCATAGATACTGGGATATGAATACCACAATGTCAGTTCTTTAATTTGTAATGAGAAGTATCAGACATGGCTTCTCATATTTATGGATCACTGCATTTTCTTCCAGTAGGCAAATCTGCATGGAAAAGTAAATTATAATCAGGTTACTTGATGAGCATTGAATCAGCTCTCAGTGTGATACATTTATCTTTCCCATAGGAGTACAATTGCCATTCAAACCAAATATTTTCAATTTTCAGAGCACCCTTTCTACTAAATTAGACTGCAAACACATCAACAACTTGTGCTTTCTTAATTTCTTTTCTTACAGAAGTATAGATGATCTCCTTTGACACTTTTTTTCAATTAGAGTTTAACAAAATTGACTTTATTAAAGTTGAGCTAATGTATATAAGACTCTTAGCCCACTGCTTCCCCTTTATTGGGTAAATAAATGGTAATCATTAATAAGTGTTCCTGATATTGCGCCTACTTCACCTTGTTACTTGTAATATCAAAACAGTCTTTTGGACCACTTCTAAAGATGACTGTGATCACCTCATCTTTTATAGTTTGAGTAACTCTATTCTGTTAATTCTTCAATTCTTTTCATTTACTTCTTTAATTTCAGCTATCCTTAATGCTGACTCTGTGAGGAGATTACGATAATATCCTTTGGCACTGCAGGAGATGCCTTTGGGATTTTTATTATTTTTAAGTTTCAGTTTCTTGCCCCCAAATACTCTATATCCTGTGGTTCTCCCATTGGAAATATGAATCTGTTGGAAGAGATGACCTTAATGATGCTGCTTGGCTGCAAAGTAGATCTGAGCTTGTATCTTATTTGAGTAGATGATTTTAGTCCGTCTAACTGTGCTTACCTTCATTTAAAGCTTGGCTTAAATTCTTTCTCAGGGAGTAGAAGTTATTTTGAAAATGGTAGCAGAATCTTAGAATACAATGGTGGTCATGGTATTGGGAGGTGATGATTGACGAACCAGTAGAGGTGGGGTGATGGTCAAGTTAGCAGTCAACAGTGACACTGCGGCTCTGACAAACACATACTTGATAAATCAAAACTTTTTGTATGAAAATGAGTACACAAAGGAATGATTCAGATGAGTCCGTACACCAGCAACAGTAAGTGCTGTGAACCTTCTATGCATCCATCTGGAGGATGAATTGTGCTTTTAAGAGTGGCAAAATACATGTGGGGAAGTGATGGAGAACTGCCACAGAATTTTCTGGCATTTGTAAAAAGTAGATTGTGGTGCATTTTTGAAGCTAATGGTCTCAGAACCACAATTTGAGAACAGTCACAGGTAAGAACCAATGTAGTTCAGGAGAGGGATAGATAACATTTGACTGCAGCAACTGGGGAAAACTTAATGAAAGAGACTGGCTTTGGTCTGAGTCTTGAGAGAGTGACAGCACTTGAATAGAAAAGAGGAGGGAGAAAACTTTGTTTTTTTGAGTGATATGCAAAAAAACAGCACATGGGGGAAATAGTGTTTATTAGGGGTGTGGAGAATCAAATAGCTTGGCCCCCAATTTTTTTTCAAATGTTCTTAAATGTGATCCGTGAAAGAAAATTGAGGTGTAGGGCTAGTCAAATGGCATCATTCACGCCAGACTTGGAAAAAATGAGCAGCTATGCTGGTTCTCTTCAGCACGCAAGTGGATGCAACTAATGATGCCTCTCCATGCACCCAGCTTCATATTTCTGTGTACTTTCTGATGTCATCCAAGGGTTTTTGGAAATAGGAAAGACTGTCAACATCTTGAAAGTATCCTCACTTTCTGTAGCTCTCACTCTCACTTAAATATTCAAACAGAAGTAAAACTAGGAGGGCAGATGGTGTACCTGTGATGTCAGACATACAGTATGGCTTTCCTGTGTGATGAAGAGAGACGACTACCACATGTCATTGTGCCCCATTACTTTCTGTATCAGAAGCTGTACCATCTTTCCAAGAGCTAGTGCCAAGAAATAGGAACTATGTTTTTCTGTCACGTGTAAATTTGCTGACTTTCCAGAGGTCTTACTTGAACTCAAAGGCAGAGGAAATATGTGAGTTGACTCTAACATGAAAGGCTTGGAGGAATCTGGTGTTCCATTATACAGGCTACCTTTAACTGCAAAGTATTCTGAAGAATTCTGCTTTGGGGTCCAATATACCTTTTCAAGTCAAGGTTTTCAGCACTTGCTGAAATTATCAAAGTTGAAGTACATGTTGCTCTGTCAAAGGCATTATCACAATCTTAACTAATTTAGCCAAATCTCATTGAGATTTGCTGCTGAGCAGTTAGAATATTTTAAATTATGGATTTTTTCAGGAAGTTTTTCATTCATGAAAAATAAGAGAGGTACAGTGTCTTGTAAATAATGGCTTTTTAATATGTTCAGGAAATCAGTTGCCAGTACATTTCCGCTTATTTTTCTGCGGGAGGCTCACATTTTCAGTCAGAATTTCAGATTGGTTTTGACTCCACTGAAAGATTAATGACTGTTGATTTAGCTGGTCTGGAGACATTGGGATATTCTGGATGAATGTGGGCTAAAGAGTGACAGGAAATTAGAAAGCTCATCTGAAGAATATGGGAAGAAAAGTTTTGGCAGGACTGCAGGATGATTTAGAATTCAGGTTAGCCTCAGGTCTGTCATCCTGATAATCAGAAAGCAAGATTGTAGGTGCCACTTCTTAAAGGCAGAAGCCCCGTGTTACCTGTTTTTGTTCTTAATGTCTGAGCATAGCCTCTAAGATATAATAGGTGTTCAAAAAATGTTGGAGTTAAGTCGGACTCATTGGTTGATCATGAAACCTGAAATGTAGCACCAGTAATAAATGTTTTTCTGTCTTAGGTTTATTAGATTGCTTGGTGAATAGTAAGATTTTTGAGAGAATGCTTTATAAAAAGCACTTTCAGCCTTCATTTGTTCAGGAACATTAACACAGATGTTTGACCTTTTTAGGATTTGTTCTTTTTGTAAACTTTATTTCTCATAATTCTTTTCACTGAAGGTATGCCACCAAACATGATAATTCTGTCCAGTATCATCAGAGGGAAGGAAACTTGCAACAAAGCAACATTCCAATAAACATCTGATCTTTGATTTAATGATCATTAAAAAAATCTGACAACTTTGAGGTCACTTTGGCTTAAAATATCTTTGGAACTTCTATTGCAATCAGCTTAATAACAAAACCCTGGAACCACTCCCCTCTGTTTTTTTATTATCCCCTTTGTACAGTTTCCTGGAACAAAGTTTACCAGAATAGATTCCCTAGGTATTAATAACTTAAAATTTTATATTCTATTATGGAAAGACCAGAATGATGTTAAGTATAGACTGCAGTTCACTGAAATATTTTACCTTTACTCTCAATAAATTCTTTCAAGTAAAGGGAAAAATTACTGAGTTACTGTAAAACAGTGGTATTATTTTAAAGCACTTGTTCCAAAAGTGTTCTAAATTTTCCTGTTTTTAGCAAAGTTTGTGCTCTTATCTGTAAATTACAAATTAAATTACCTCTCAGAATTCCAGAAAACTTTTTTTCTCAAGTAATGAATAACGGAGTAAAATAAGGTACAGCTTTTTAAAAGGCAGTGGTTTTGATTGTCAAAGTTTAAGGGATAAACGTAAAAACACTTGTAATACTGTGATTTTCTCAGAACTTTTGAGGAAAATGAACTGCTCCAGTAGACTATCCATTCTTTAAAATCTATTTGATGTCCACCTCTTTGCTATACAATATGAAATTTCATAAATATGAATTGAGATATAGATGGATACATAAAAGGGAGCAACATTTAAAGTCTTTGTATTAATGTTTTTAACAGTGGAAGTGGAATGTTTATATAAAATTTGGGAAACAAATATAACGATTTTCCCACAACCTCAACACCTGGAGATACCAGCATTTTGGTGTTTTTCTCCATTATGCATGTGTGTTTGTGTAAACACACAAGTACACACCCACACGCCACAAAAGGGGATGAAACATTTTTACATTTCAGAAATACTTTTCCATTATCATTATTATTTCACAGCATTATTTTAACAGCAAGTTAGAAAAAGACTAATATAATCCATTGTTGGATACAGATTTCCAGTTTTTCTTTGAACTTTTTTTGTCATCCTTTCCGTTTGCTTCGTTTTTGGCTACTATAGAAACTGCACCCAGTCAGTCACCCTATTTGAAAATTTTGTATGCATTCGTAGTTATCCAAAAGTTGAAAATTTCAAGCTGGAATTTCTGGGTCGAAGAGCATTAGCAAGTGCAAGGGCTTTGACCCGGTTTCCCAGGTCGCTAACCCGCTGCGGTGGTTGGAGACCAACTTCCCCGGTGCGCTCAGATCAGGCGGTGCGTCGAGGGTGGGCGCGCTCCGCGGGAGGCGGCGCCCGCGTGCCTGCCCGATTCTAACCCGCGTGTCTTTGTCTTTCCTTCCTGGGGTCCGCGCCCGTGTCGGCCGAAGCCTGGCGAAGCCATCGCCCCGCAGCGCCGCCGTCCTGCGCCCGGCCGTCCCCGGGAGCCGCTGCCCGCCCGCGGGCGCCGTCACCACGCGCCAGGCCGCTGCCAGCTGCCGCGCCAAGCTCCGCGGCGGTGCCGCCCGGGAGCGCCAGCACGCGGCGCGGGGTCTCGGCAAGCCCGCCGGCCCGTGAGCCCGGGCGCCGCCCGCCGCCGCACCGCCGCCGCCTCCGCGTCGCTCTCCGGGTCGCGCCCAGCGCCACCGTGTGCAGCCACCTCCGAGCCCGGCCTGTGCTCACACCGCCTCACCCCTCGCTCTGCCTGAACCTGGCTTCCTGGTTTACCCCAGAGCTCTCCCACCAAGCCCCCGGGGACCATGTGCCTTAGGGCCAGGGTGGGGTGGCCCCTGTGCTTTTCTTCATTCTGCTTGCTAAATCCCGGCTTCTTTGAGCATCCCGTCACCGGACAAGACTCCTTTTCCTTCCTCTTTGTAATTTATAGACTTCCTATTTCTTGTCGGTTTCTTTCATTATTAGTTCTTCAAAGACTAACTTCTACTTTAGTTTTCTCCACCTCAAGTCCTGTCATAACAAACTAGTCCCCCACTGACATCTACCAGAAGATTTTAGTAATTGTCCAAATTCTCAGTGACTACTGGGTGGTTGACACACCCTGAGTTGTGTCATACCTAACTGTGGTTGAACTTGAACTCCAGCATTCTGTCCTCCTCTTCCTGTAACTTCATCTGTAATGACTATTTCGTCCCATCCGAATTAGTCCTATCTTCCAAGGTTCGATCTTGTCATTGTCAAAAACTGCATCTTCTCTGGAATCTTGTCTGTGGTATTGTCTGTGTCATTAAGATCTGCTCCAGGAAGCATCGATAACTGACAGCTCCACCTGCTTTCCCAGGAGCTCCACCACTGTGTTTGCACTGAGGTCATGCTTCTCCAGGGCCATTTCCATTGACTGAGCACACTGTCCAGGGGATTGGTGATAGTCCATTCGTGTGAGGTGCAGGACTCCGCTAATGAGCAATTTTGGCTTGGGGACCCCTCAACACCTGGCTGAAACTTAGAACTGTAGTATGCAGTCCGAAGCTCTTCTTGCCCAATCCCCCTTCCTTTAATAGGTGGCTTAGTTTCCTATGAAATGAAGCCTCCCTTCCCTCCTCCTGCTTCCTTTGCTCTGTCCTCTCAGTAGAACTTTTGTATGGTGATCCCTGTCTTGGTGTCTGCTTCTAGGACCTGAACTAATACAATGTCAGACATTCCACTTCCTGATCACCATTTTCCTATCCTAGATTGTTTGCTTGCTGACAGCTAGTTCATTAACCTCATTTCCACCGATTAGCCCCTTTTTTGTGTGTACTTCCTGGACTAGCCTAGATTGCATAGTCCATTATAACCATTCTTGAAATGCAGTGCCCCCAGCTCTTTGGAGCCTCATTTTCTTGCAAGTTACTTTCCTGACAAAATATCAACCTTGGGTAAAGTTTACATCTGCCCTGCATGGGCCTGACTGAGACAAATGAATCTTGTCTAAAGAAAAATCACAAAACCCAGCCAACTAGTTTCACTTTCAATTCATTGTCTCACACCTCAAATTTGTGCTGTTGTTGCTACTACGTTCTTAATTTCTCACTTAACTACTGTTAATAGGTTTTCAACTCCTCAAAAATGATTTGCTCCCTTTTTCCTGGCTTACTTCATATTTCACTGAGAAAATAGGAGTTATTACATACAAACTTCCTCATCTTCCCACCACAAGACCCTTCAACTCAGCTACCTTGGGAACCATCTTCTTCCTTTTTTTTTTGGAACTATGAAGGCAGCTTTAAAGGTCATTCCCTTCTCTTGTACTCTGACCTCAGAGGCTAGTAATGCTCTTTGCTGTTTAAGCTGCTCTCATGGTCACTCTCCCCCCACCACAATGTATCCTTTAATAAGTACCAGGATAGGACGTTTTGAGAAAGGTCTGCTCAGAGCACCCTATTGGAAGTAGTTCAGCCTCTTTCTCCTCCCATTTGCTAGCTCAGTCCTTTATTTACAACCTTATTTATTTTTTAAAATTTGCTTCTGGGGGAGTCTGTTTCCCACACTAGAATATATGAAGGAAGAGACTGTGTGTTGCATTCTCTGCCCTAGCATAATGTTTGGCACATGTCAGGTCCACAGAAAATACCTGTTGAAGGAGTAAATAAATGAATATGTTAATTTTTCTGTTAGGGGTTCACTTTTTATTAATATCTCTTTTTATATTAAAACCACTAACCATTTGTTTATTCTGTATGCTACAGACATTTTTCCCCTTCCCACATAATACCAATTAAATTCATGATGTCTTTGATACATTACATTTTTCATTTAGATAAATCTATTTTTTCTGCCTTTGGTGATGTTTAGAAAGGTCTTCTCCTTGCCAATGTTATATAAATATCTGTATATGTTTCCTTTTATTTTAATTTTTTAAGTTTGAATATTTACTCCAAATGGAATTTATTTTTGATGTAGGTGTGATTAAGAATCTAAATATTTATTTAGTTGTTGCATCATTTATTGAAAACTTCCTTTTCTACTGTTTTGAATATTACACATTTATCAAATATTAAATTCTTACATTTACTTGGAGTGGTTTCTGGATTTATTGCTTATTTGTTTATTTTTTTGGTATCCCCTGTTCCTGATCCATGCTATTTTAATTGCCATTTGCTTTACTGGATGTTTAACTTTTCAATGGGCATAATATTTTTCAAAATATTTTTGGCTACCTTTGTGCATTTATTCTTCTAGATTAGCATTAGTTATATTTTGACCAAGTTTCAAAACAAATAACATGTCATTTGTTTAGAATTGCTTTAATATTATAGATAGTTTTGGGGAGAATTGTCAGCTTTGTAATATTGTTTCTTATTCAGGAAGTTGTCACATGCCAAGGTTACTGAAGTCAACCTTTATGTTCTTCAGTAATTTTTTATGTGCTACACATTTCTTACTAGTTATATTTATTAGATATTTCATATCTATTTGAGTGTGATCATTTTTCATTTTTTGTAACTGGCTGCTTCTCATGGGATCAAGCAATTAATTTTTGCATTTGTAACTTTCCTGAACTCTTCATTAATCCTCATTGATTCTCTTCTAAATAGCCATTTTAAGTATAATTAATAATTTTATCTCTTCCCTTACAATATTTATACCTCATTTACTAAACAAATGATGATAACTTTCTTCCTATTCCTAACTTTTTAGGAATGCCATGAACATTTCACCAGCTTTTGATGTTCGTGTTGGACTCAAATATAGGTCTTTATCAGACTAAGGAATGGTTTCTTAGTTCAACTATACTAAACATTTTATTGGAAATTATTGTTGAATTATACTAAGCATATTCCAGGCAACTAGAGATTGTCACATAATTTTACTCTTATGCCCTGTTAGCATAATCAATTATGCTATAGATTTCTCAATATTGAGTTATTTTTGCTTGAGAGGCATCCTGTTTCATTGTGGTGGATTTTTTTCTTTTAAATATAATAATGTTGAATTTAACTTTTTACATTTTATTTGGGATTATTGTATTTATATTCATGAAAAAGATTGGACTATAATTGTACATTTTATATCCTACTTTATCAGCGTCAAAAATGAGTTTTCCATCTTGTTCCATCCTGTAGACTAGTACATAGGGTAGGAATTGCCTATTCTTTGAAGGTTTAGATGAACTGACCCATAACACTGCTTAGGTCTCAAGTTTTTTCAGGGTAGATGAGTTGAATAAAAGATAATTCTCTAAAAACTTTAAAAACTTGTATGGTTTTTGGCCTAGACCTATTAACTATTACTCCTTAAGTGTCAATCTTAAAATTATATTTTAAAGAAAAGCATACATTTTAATAGAATTTAAAAATTTGTTAGCAGATTTCTAAGTATAATTATCTTATAATTAAAAATATTTTTCTCTGTTTCTGTGGTTATAACTCCTTTCTTATTTCTAATCTTTTTAGTTGTATTTTTCCTTTTATTAGACTTGCCAGTTTTTGAAGAAAATAACACTTAGATATCTTATCTATTTTTTCTATTGTATATATCAATATATATACCAATTCATCTTTAATTCTTATTTTTTGCAAGTTAATTTTGTTGTTTTATGACTGTTTCTTTGTAATTGATGGCTTAGTTCATTTATTTTTATTTCTTATTTAATAATAGGACACAATAAGACTATAATTTTACCTCTGGGAACAGTTTTGACTGCATCTCAAAAGTTTTTGGTATGTAGTCTGTTAATGTTACTATTTTAAAAAAAATTGATAATTGCTGTTTCTGCTTAATTTTTAACTGGTGTTATTTAGGATAGTGTTGTGAGGTTTTTGTTGATAATTCTGCTTCCTTAATAAAGAGTGAGTTTATTAATATTTATGTTGCAATTTTAATAAAGAGCCAGTTTTGTTTGTAAAAAGTGAAACTATTTGTGAAATAGTTCCTATACAAGCACACTTCTTAGAAGAGCCTACCAATAGCGCCAGCTAGTGTCTACTGTACTAATTACTAAGAACAGAGATGTGAGATAAGACTAAGTGCTAATAGTCCTAGTAGAATGGTCATTTCTTTACTGTTCTAGTTACTCATGTAAAAGTCAAGAATGAGCTTTAAAAATGTTTATTTCATCAGTAATCCTCAAGTAATGAAACTTAAAAGGTCATACAATAATTAGAAAAATTCATCAAAGTTGTTAAAATCAGGAGGGATTGAAATATTGTGAACGTGAACTTCGTCACAAAATTTTGGCATTAGAAAAATTTTCTTTTAGACTTGGAAAAAGTAGTTTAAGATATTTATTTTTTATAATTAAAAATGTAATTCATGTACATAAATAAAGATTGTCCGTAACTTCGTTACCCAGAGAAAAGCACTGTTAACATTTTGTTTTATTTCCTTCTAAGACTGTTTCTGCATATGTCTTGCTTTTTGGTAGAACTGGACTCATATTCTTTGCACTGGCATTTGTTTTCTTACTGTTTGGGAGCATTTCCTTATGACTTAAGGAAATAGAGATGGTTGGAAATCCTTTATTTCAGTAGTAGTAACATTAGGACAGGGCTTTTCCTGCTGTGGTCACCAGTGTCTGAGCTGCTTGGCTTCCAAGTCTGATCCCAGAAGACTTCCTTGTTATCCTTCTGCTCAATTCCTTCATTTCTTAAACTGGACATAAGTAGTTTCTGCCTTTTACACTCAAGACCTCTCACTGAAGGGCTGAGGGCAGGACTCTAGAGGTAGAGCACTTGCTTAGCAAGCACTGGGTTCAATTCCTAGTCACCTCTCCTCCACATACAAACTCTGAAGGGTAACACTGATTTTATTTGATTTTGACTTAACAGTGTTTTCAAAATTCTGACACCAAGAGATATATTATGCATGAATGTGCAGGAATGTGCACAAACATAAACATACGCACACGTTCACCACTCAAATGTGGGAAATACCACTTATTTTATTTGCCTATTTGGAGGTTCACAGAATATACTTTTATATTTGTCTTTTAGAATTTCTGTATTAGAAAAAGAAAGCTTGCTTTAAAAACATGTGTTTCAAACATTCTGTTATGGAAAACTTTCTCCTCATAAAATCTGTCAATTTTTGTACAGCTTTATAAAACAATGATTTAGTTATTAGCTGAGCAACATGACCCTTTCGCTTGGCTTCTACCCACCATATCTATTAATTTAGCATTGACAGTCAACTGTCAATTGGTTTAAAAGGCATGTAGAAGTTTATTTTGTTGATGCCTTCTATTGTTCTGTATTGAGGAACTAGTCCCAGGATTGCTTTCAGACCAAGGCAAGAGAGGTCCTTGCTTTGGTTTCCGTGGTTCCCCCTACTTCTATCCATACTAATTCTATACCCCTACTTCTATCGGTGCTGGGCACTGAACCCAGGACCTTATGTTTGCCAGGCAAGTGCTCTACCACTGAGTTAAATCCAGAATCATTAGGTCTCCAATTTTGACCCCATGCTTTACGGGGTCATTCTTTGGCCCTCCTTTGGTGACTCCTGCCCTGCCAGAGTGAAGAGCTATGGAGCCATGGGAATGAATCTACCTGGAGCCTGAGCCCACTTCTTTAGGCTACATTCTGGGCTCTTGGGATACAGAATTCTCAACCCAAACAACACCATCTTTCAATCTCTTCAGATCTATCCTATAGTGCCATCATTGAACACCAAAGGGTGGTCTATGATGGGCTGTCTGCTGGCGTGTGGACAAAACCTGGCTGAAGAGTCCACACACATGAATGTAAGACTCTGAAGTATAGGTTTTAAATGGTGTCATGGGGAAGAGACCAGTTCTTACTAGGCCACCATGTTCCAGCATGGGACTCTGAACAATTCAAGAAATCTTAATTTTATGTGGCCTCCTAGTAAATTATGAAAGTGTTTTTCTCAACAGAACAATAGAAGATGTCTTATTTAACAGCCCATTGCTTGATTTGTAACTTTGAAAATATTTGGACATATGATAAATAAGCTTCAGTTTTACTCTTGTGCCTGCAAATGTTAGGGGCAAGATTGGTGCTTACAGACTAGAAGCAAAGGTTGAAATCTTACAGGCACTGGGAAAGAAGAGAAAGTGGCTGCAGGGTATCACTTTGAGGGAGAACCCTGTTTTCACAGCACTCAGCCTAATGGAGCCCTAAGCCTTACTATGAAGCACCAGAGCCTTTTGTCTTGGAATGGATCACAAACTGGACAGAGTATCTCAGAAGGGACCATGAACCAAAATGGATCGAAGACCAGAGGCCCTTACCCAAAATCTAGGATTACAAAAGCCTCTGGAATTTTTCTGTGTTCTAATAGGCTTGCCAGAATACTACCGATTTGATTTTTTTTTCCATACTGGTGAGTGGAAAGTTCAGAATCAGATTTTGTTTAGAAAATATAATAGCACACCTTTTATAACTGTGTACAGAGGTATAAGAGTCACACTAGCCAAACTGCAATAAATATAAAATGGTACAAAAAGAACAGGATGCCTTGGAAGAGTAAAACAGAGGAACCTCTCTTGGTTTGTATGTTCAGAGAAAGGTCCTGGAGGAAGAATCCTTTAGTTGAAAGGTAGAAAATGAGCAGTATTTCTAGAGGCAGAGTTCAAGGAGAAAAGGGGAAGAACCTTGCAAACAGCCAAGAAGATACCATGAAGAGCTTGGAGGTGGGAGAGAACAAGATGAATTAGAGCTGAATGAAGAAGGTCTGTGTGGTTTGAGAGTTGAAATCAAGGAGAGTGTGGCTGGATAAGGCATAGAGGAATGCAGA